ACAATTTAGTTTATCACATAAAAAATGACACTCAGTTCGAAGCCTATAAACCTAATTTTACATTTCAAACAGTTTGTTCAAGCTTAATAGGGCAACGATCGAAAATTTAAGCAAAAAAAGATATTCATCCGCAAACTAACAACATACGTTCTACTAAACAAACAGTTCTTACTAAAAAAACATAGCGCAAGGTTTACTATGGTCAGCCTTGTAATTTGCTGAAAATAGCTTTTTCTGGTTTTTCTCCCTGGACCAACAACCTCATGCAAGGACAATTAACAATTCTTTTTATCAAAAACAAAATGCCAGTCATTTCGAAGCTTTGAAACCTAGTTTTACAATTCAACCTCGGATCTTGATGAACCCACTTTTTTCATAGCAAACAAAGTTTCGATTATGCAAACTACTAACAAATGCCACTTGACCACTGAGTCCGAACCTAAAAATCTATGCAATCTAATAGGTGCCATGGTTTAGTGGTTATCACATCTGCCTAACACACAGAAGGTCCCCACTTCAAGCCTGGATGGCTTCAGTTTTTACCCATTGACAATTTCTGCGTTTGTTTTCACTAGCCCAGTCAAAAACACAAAACCAATCAAAATCTTTTTTGACACAAGAAGCTTCAAAAAATCAATTAAAACCTTTTGATCATCTTTTTGAAAAAGAAAAAAAATTCGGTCTCCACAAAAATAACAAAACACAATTTTTCTCACTGAACCAACAACCTCATGAACTGACAATTACCAATTCACTTCTTCAAATTCGAAATAATACTAAGCTTTTAAAAATAATTTTGCATTTGAAATTTTTTGTTTAAGCGTGAGAGGGCAACGATCAAAAAAGTAAGCAAAAAAACAGTTTTTACTAATCGAACAGTTTTTACTGAAAAAACCTATCGCAAGGTTTTTCAAGGTCAAACTTTTAGCTAGTTGAAAAATAGCTTAGGTTGTTTCAACATCGAAGTCGAGTGTTTTATAGAAAGTGACGATCCCAATTTTGCATTGAAAAACGTCAGAAAACAAATCTAGGCCTGATTGAAATAGATACCTACATTTCTCTCTGCCTTGAAGAAAAACTCATAAGGAGTATTCACGGAGTTCAAAAGAAACAAATATTAAAACCTCGGATCTCGTTAAACCCACTTAATCATTAGCAATTAGAGTTCCGATGATGCAAACTCCTAACACATGCCGTTTGACCACTGATTCCGATAATTTAAAACTTTGCAATCCTATAGGTGCCAAGGAGTAGTGGTTATCGCATCTGCGAATCACGCAGGATGCCCCACTCATGCCTGTGTGCAGTTAATTTTTTTAACCTTTATACGATTTTTCTGTTTGTTTTCACTAGTCGAACCAAAAACACAAAACCAATCAATATCTTCTTCGACACAAGAAGCTCCAAACAATCACTTGAAACATTTTGAGCAAAAATTTTTAAAAACATACTTTTCCTTCTCCACAGAAATATCAAAACATAATTTCTCTCCCTGGACCAACAACTTCATGCAACGACAATAAACAATTTATTTATCATATGCAAAATTACACTCAGTTCCATGCTTATATACTTTTTTTACAATTCAAAGAGTTTGTTGAAGCATGATAGGGCAACGATCGAAAACAATAAGCAAAAAATAAATGAGATTTTTCTACAACTAAACAAACAACAAACGTCCTACTAAACAAACAAATCTTACTAAAAAACATAGCGCAAGGTTTACTAAGGTCAACCTTGTAATTAGTTAAAAATATTTTAGATTGTTTTAACATCGAAGTCGAGTGTTTTACAAGAAATGGCTCCTCTAATTTTGCATTGACAACCGTCAGCAAAAAATCTAGGTTGTCACAATGGACTGATTGAAATAGAAAACTACCTTTATCTCTGCCTTGAAGAAAAACTTATAAGGATTATTCACGGAATTCAAGAGATTCAAATATGAAAACCTCGGATCTCGATAAACCCAGTTTTTAGCAATTAGAGTTGCGATGATGCAAACTCCTAACACATGCCATTTGACCACTAATTCCGAAGCTTCAAAACTTTGCAATACTATAGGTACCAAGGAGTAATGATTATCGCATCTGCGAATCACGCAGGAAGCCAGCAGTTCAAGCCTGAATGGAATTATTTTTTTTTTCCGTTATACGATTTCTCCGTTTGTTTTTACTAGTCGAATAAAAAAAACAAAACCAATCAATATCTTTTTTGACACAAGAAGCTTCAAACAATCACTTGAAACCTTTCGAGAAAAAACTTGTTAAAACGCATATTTTTCCTTCTCCACAGAATTATCAAAACATAGTTTCCCTCCCAGGATCAACAACTTCATGCAATGACGAATAACAATTAACTTTTTCAAATACAAAATGACACTCAATTCGAAGCTTATAAACCTATTTTTACAATTCAAACAGTTTGATCAAGCGTGAAGGGGCAACATATTGGGCAAGAGATTTTTCTATAACTAAACTGAGAGCATACGTTCTACTGAACGATTAGTTCTTACTAAAAGAACATAGCGCAAGGTTTACTAAGATCAATCTTGTATTTATTGAAACTCTGCAATAGCTAGTACTCAGCAAAGAGCAATTTGGAGCGTCAATCAACTACAAATGTAAGTGAACTAAAGGAGGTATAAGTGTCATAACTGATGACTGAATTCTGTGCTTGCTCGCGTCTGGATTCCGCAGACATATCTTTTAAATGGTACATAGAAATTTATGTCCCAGAAATTTGTGTCCTTGACAAAACTATCGCAAAAAATAACACAGAGGCGAGGCTGCGCTTTGCAAACACAAGCGAGGAAAACGCAAAAAAAACTTTAAACAGGCAAAAACAGGTATTTTTGAATATCAATTCGGAGATTAGGAGTATCACGTTCTCACATCTGCTCAACCGCTGCTTTTATTTTTACTAAAACTAGCCGCCAATAAAGCAGCATAAAAAAAACTAACTCACTGTTCCGAATTTGAATCTCCGACCAGATGATTAGGAGTACCTCTCGCGTCCTCGCATCTGCGCCACGGTCACTTACACGAAACCCTGATGATTTCTTTGCTTAAGTAAGAGATTGGCTGCTTACTTAGAAGATAAAACTGCTACTGCCTCTTTCAATTGAATTCTTTAACTCAGATTTGTCTTGTTAGTTTTCGAAAAAGTGAGAAAAATTCCAAAAACGATCAAAAAATCAAAAATATGCCTTTTCCAAAACCCATAAAAAATATCTACCGCTGAAGTATGGGAATAGCCTCTAATGCAGGGTTAATTTCAGCGCTTTAATGTTAGGATTGATACGTTAAAATTGATCAGATGTAGCTAGTCGTTTTCGAGAATAGTGATGAACCTTCCAAAAAACGGTACAATTTTTAAAGAATGGATTTCCCTCAAGTCCATATTGGCCTAATTTACAAAAAAAATAAAACAGATTACTCAGGGAATATTTAAGCACAATGTTAGTTCGAATGAACTATCAACCTCGGAATCAGCAGTTTAGTTTTTGCAGAAAAAAAGGGGTTCCAAAAAAAGGGCAAAAATTCAAAAACTGGACAATTTCCAGAGCCATGTTTTTTTTTCAAACAGCAGTGCATAGCCGTTAGCGCAAGGAAGATTCACATAACTGATTTTTTTTTCGGATAAACCCTTAATCTCCAATTTGGCAGGGTAGTTTTTAGAAAATAGAAATTGTTTTAAAAATAACCAAAATTCAAAAAATGGGTTTGTTTGAGACTATAACCTATTCTACGAAACTTAGGGAACAACCGCTTGAAAAGGGGAGATCCCCATTATTTTTTCTCCTCTTTATAACCTTCGTTTCGGATCTGTGCATTTATTATTTGAGAAAATGAAAAAAAAAATCAAAACAGATCAAATATCAAATAAAATGGAAAGAGACTAGCGAAATATGAAAGCGCATAGAAGAGCAGCCGGTTTGTCCATTAGTACCATTTTTTTGAAAGAAGCACAGTAATAATTGAGAAAAACTTATTTTCCTGCTAAAAAAGCAAAAATTTTGCAAAGCGTCTAAAAAAAACAAAAAACAACAAATCCAATACGTTTTCATAATAACTGTTTTTTTTTTCAAACAGGACCTTACACTAGCCAAAAACAAAACAAGAACATATGCTATTGAGTTGTTTATCTTTAAACAGGCTCAAATGATATTAAATTGAAATATACCAAAAAGTGCTCCAAACAGGGTCGGATCAGGGTGGGGGTATTGGGGGTGTGTTTGGACGCCCCTTTCAGCAATTCAAACTATTTTGAGATATCCATTTTTCGCTGACTGCCCTTAAAATTTATCTAAAGGCTCCTCGGCGCCAATTTAAACTAACTTTAAGGGGAGAGCGCGCGCGCCAAAAAAACGCGATATTTGGTCAAAATTTTATAAAAAGTGCCTAAAAATGCCTTTTGTTGGCCTGTTTTTCAAATTTTCGCCTGCGGCGAAGAAAGTTTTACCAAAACAGGGTCTTTATAATGCTTTGGGAGAGTTCGGAAAATCAATTAGGTCGACCTAAAAAAAGGTCAACAAAATTTCAACTTTTTTTTTTGAAAATCCGCCCTCCCCGCGAGAAAATCCTAGATCCGCCCCTGCTACCAAATTAGCACTTTTATGTGCGACTTAGGTTAGATAGAAATCCTTTGTATTAATACACAACGCTTAACTTGTGTGAATAACAGGCACTCTTAAAATTGAATCAATCTGCGGTTCCGAGCACGTTCTCCCGTAGGCTGATTTAACCAAAAAAGGACCATCCCTCTTTCGTTGAGAACTCCCCTTCCCCTTTTAAATTCTTTTCATTAAAAAATCACCATCTTCTCCCATTTATTGGAGTATAGTATAAGCCCAGAGTCAAAATTGTGGGAGCTCAGTTACGTATGCTCAAATTGAAATATGTTCAAATTCTCAAATTGAAATACATATGCTCAAAATAGAAGCTCAAATTGTCATACGCTCAAACTGACACATGCCCAATTATCCAACTAATGGACCTGACCTCGCATATTAGTGGACATATGCAGCACACTTGTGGTTTTTCGGCTGAGTTGTTGGCGGTGGCCACACTCTGCTGGATGATGTGGGACACCTGGGATCCCTGCTCCACTCTGCTTCTGCAACAGTACTTGAAGAACAGGTCCAGATTGTCGTCCACTCCATTCACAACCTGCACAAACAGTCCTGATACGTTACAATCTGTAGAATAGTTGGGGCTCAGATGCAACAAAAAATCTATATACATGTTGACAGCATTCGAAGTTTCGAGCTGATGTTCAGTTAGAGTTAACAACCATAGAGATTTTTTGTAAAAATATATCAATATTTGGTTTTTTGATTTTTTAACATAGAGAAAGACAATCATAAAATAATTCAGTTCATTTTCTCATTTTTCATTTTTACCAGGTGGTTTCTCAATTATCACAGATTCCAAAATTTTGTACGACAGCCGTAGTGCGGCGTTATAAACAACACAAGCAAACCCTTTCGAAACGTTTAGGTTTATATTTATCAAAGATTAAGGGTTGGTCAGCCTAAAGATGATGCCATAAATCATTACGTTACCAAAGGGGGACCGACCCTTTGGGGGGTGAAGGTATCGATATCCAGATAGTCCTCCCCCTGGGTTAAATACAGAGGCGATATGGAGCTTCTCAAAACTTTATAAGCGATACCAGGAACGCATTATTTTATACTCATACAAGACTGGGTCGGTGGCTGTGCAAGTATCACATAGTGTTCCCAACACATTCATGAAAAAAAAAATTTAGAAATTTTTTTTTTTAAAAATAGTATCGCTTTCTGTGTGTAATTTGGTGAAGAAACTATACGAGCGCGTACAAAGCTAGCGAATTAGGCGTATTAGTCAACAATTAATTTCGGAACAAGAATACCAAAAAAATTGAAACCCTTACCTCAGATTTGTGAGTTCGTTTTTTGAAAAAACGAAAACAGTCACAACAAATTGGTCAATAATACCCCAACTGAAAAATTCGAAGGCCGTGAAGCATGGGATGAAATGGAAAGAGACTAGCAAATTATGCTGAAACATAAAAGAGCAGCCAGTTTGTCCGTTAGTACCATTTTTTGAAAAACGAAGCAGTAGTTTCTGAAAAAAAGAATATGATTAAAATGAAATAAACAAAAGTGCCACCAAAAGAGCAATTTGATTGCGACAGGTTTGAAAAAAATTTCTTCGTAATAATACTCTCGTTTTTTGCGGCGAAACAAAATTTTTCACTACTACTAAGAAATAATTTTCTCATTATATCTACTCCCTTGCTTTACTCGCGAAAATCGACTAAAGCTCAGAAATTTTAAATCAATTTTCCTCGAAACGGAAAAAATTAATATCGTTCAAGTCACGACGGAAAAACTTTAATACGGTACATCACTGGACCCATTCCGGTGCTTATTTGTGGTACCAGACTGCTTGAAAAAAAAATAACTGAAACACATCCCAAGACAAAGATCTTTCTAATTTTCCATGATCGGAACAATCATTGAAATTAAAACAATAAAAGTTCGTGTTCATAAAATGATGATAACAAACATTGAAAATTACCTTTATGTAAGCTTTTCATGAGCACTCTCAGCAATTACAAAAAAAATGAAAACTTGACAAAATCAGAAATAAAATTCGGGAACCAAGATTATAGATTTTAAACCGCGCCAGTCAAAATTTGAAAAATCACAATCAAAACTAGTCTGAAAAAAATCGAATCAGTCAGCGGATAAAATTTCAATAATAAGTCTTGCAATGTTCTTTATACGTCATCGAAAAAAAGTTATTTCTGAAGTTCGATTGTTAGATATATACAGTGGTTAAAAATCTAACATAATATTCCAGAGTTATTAAAATGATTGTTTGAAAATGAAGCAGAACTTAAACTAAGCCGTCAATATTTCAGAACAAAGTAGCACAGAATGTTCCGACCATCGCCATTAAAAAACTAAAAGAAAAAAGTTTTTTTTTTCCAAATTGATGTAGTTATTCTGCGTGGTGTGATGAAAAAGATCTGACGTAATATTATAATTTGGGCATATTCGATAATCATAGTAATATAAGCAAGCAGGACAACAATTTTTGAAGAAAATTGACTCGAAAAAAATGATTCACATTTTTTCCAAAAAATTCAAATTTTTAATTTTGCAGAAACTTTTTGAACTTTTGAAGTTTTTGTTTCTTAAAATTAAACTCAGCATAAATAAGCGATTGCAAACGGCTAAAATTAAGCATAAATAGGCATGATCGTTTGCTCGAATTTAGACGAAAAATCAAAAATTACACAGAGGCGAAGCTGTGCTTCACAACCATTTGCGAGAACACGACCAAAAAGCAGCTCTATCAAGTAAAATTAGAAAAATTAGAAATAAGTTTCGAATTAGCGAAAACACGGGAACGTGTCGGATTCTAATCTGCGACCTAGAAAATTTGATTCTCATGCACTAACCACTCAGCCACGGAGGCTGCAAGTTCTCAGAAAATAGCCACCAAATACGCAGCTACAAATGCTAATAAATTGCCAATTCAATGCAGCAAGAGTAGCCTCAAATACAAAAAGACACATTTTTGCATGTAATAAATTGGAAAGCATAAAGCCAAAACATGTATAAACACAGAAGCAAAGTTGCACTTCGCATACGCAAGCAAAAATATGTCCGACAACGCTACTGGGAAAAACCAAATGAATAAGACTTTGTGTCTACTAAATTTCCTAAGGGACGCACGCCAATTATGAGTCTACATAATTGCTAGGCGACGCAAGCCAATTCAGACGCATTAGCAGTACCAGTCAATTTGAATAGGAAATTTACCAACTAACATGTCTCAAATTATAGAGCGGATGAATTTAAACTAGTATACGAAAAAGTTCATTAAAAACATCCGACCCTGCCCAGGTTCGAACCCTCTCATTTTGCTGCTAGTCTCCTTCCCTACCTCTACGCTACAGATCCATGATTTTAGAAGCTAAAGTGCTATTTGTAATATAATAGTCTGTGTTAATATCCTTAGCATTGGCTGTACTTAATAGCTGGATCAAAATGAACACCAATTGTCGCAACAATTGCATCGCAACAATTTTTGCAACTTAGGTTGGAAAAAAAAGAAAGTTCATGCTATAACACATGTTATGCTTGTGTAATTATGCATTTCAAAAAAATTGCAAGATACTTTGTGCTGGAAAACTTTTGAAATCGAGCTTTTATCATTGTATTGCTGTGTGAAATAAACAACTTTTTTCGTTCGTTTGATGAATTAAAATTGCATCAGCTGTGTTAAATTTTCACCTTTCAAATAACAAAGCACATGCTATCAAAAAGCTGTGAAGGTGCCCCAAAGCTGTGATATTTGCAACTTGGAATGGAAAAAAAACAAAGTTCGTACTAATACATTTTGCTTCACAAGTGTGAAAACACGAAACACAATTATAGCGAAAAAACAAGGTGCACCCGGGAATCAAACTTCAGACATTTTTTGGTCAAAACTTTTCAAAAGTGCTTTTTCGGCCTGTATAAAATTTTGCTAATATGCAGCTGTCTGAAAGTTAGTGGGATTTCATAATAAAGCAATGTTAACTTTTAGCAAATTTGCAAATAAAATCTAGTTCCGATTAAAAAACACTTTCTCTCTCAATAATGACAACGGATCTACTTAACAATCCCCCCCCCCTGTTACAAAAGGTGGGAGGGAAATTGTTAAGTAGGTTCAGCTAACAAATTACTAGCAAATTAGTCGAACTTTCAGCCAATCAGAATGCAGCAAATTCTGAAACCGAAAAAGTTCTAATTGGTAACAGCTGTTACATTTAGCAAATAAGCACGTAAAGTGAACTTAGCAAATGAGCACGTAAGTTATAGGGGGGGGGGGGGGGGGGGGAGATTCTTAAGTAGGTACCATAGGGGGGGGGGGGGGGATTGTTAAGTAGATCCATGACAACCACTAAGCACTCACTGGAATAGGACATGGTTCCTGTCCTCCGGATAAGTCCCTGATCACCACTTGATCCTCCGGAATTGACATGAACTGGAAAAAAACGACATTATTTAACAATTTTTAGAAGGAAAATTTGAAGCTGGTAATCGCGCGTCTGAAAGGCTGTTTGATATGTGTTTTTTTCCCACTCCTGACATCAAAGTTTCTGTTTTAATAGTTGTGTTACAAGCAATAAAAAGCTAAATGCGTGATGTTGCGATGTAAGCTATGGAAAAGAAACTACACTCAATAGCAAGTTCGTTCATCATGTCAAATTGTATTGTATTATCAGAAAAAAATAATAATTTTGGGAATGCAATGAATTCTTTTTTCACTAATGGAGTTGTGCAGAGTCAGAAAAAATCAAATGAAAACAGAAAGTTAAATGTGATCATTTAACTTTTCACTCACATGACTGGGATTGACTCTAACGTCATCGTCAAACACGAACATGCTGGGTTCAATGAAGTTGTTCTTCTGGTTCGAACGCCTCACTAGAAAGAAAAAGACAAAAATAAATTAGACTGAATAACCAGAAAACTCAGCGTTCAATTTTTCTGGACATCCGGAGCACACGTTTTTGATTTTAATTTTGCACAGAAGATACAAAGGCGATGTTGCACTTCGCATACGCAAAAAAAAACAATGACTTACTCAGTAAATAGGTTGCAAACATGAACAGCTGATTTCAAGATGCTAGGGTGTTGTTAATAACTACTGTGCTAGCGCTTATACATGCTAACAAACAATTCCGTGCCAAATTGGTATCGCAAGGAAATAATCAAAAGAAATCTTACTTAACTTGTGGGGGATTAAAAACAAATACTTATTTTGAAATTGACTAAAAATGACTTTAAAATGACTGAAAAGAACAAAACTGCTAACATAGTGGCAGGAGGTGTTCGTGCTGTCGAAAAAGAGCTTTTCCACAAATTGGGTTGTACACGCAAGAATTGGGAATACGTCGTCGGCAGAATCCGAGTTTGAGTGGCACTGCAAACATGCCCTCGCTACCAAACAGGGCCCTCGCGGTGCACTCTTCGGGAGGCAGAGTCTTCACGCACATGCCGAACCAACACTTGTGCTTCGTCAGGTCTAATCATTGTAGTAATACACTTTTTAATCATTCATTATAAGACAGTCTCTTATTTTGGCGAAAAGAATTTGTTGCGAACATCAACGAAATTATACTTTACTTGGTCCTTAAGATAAATTTAACTATATTGTTACATGAAAAAAATACCTAAAAATGAACATAAATAATTATAAAGAGGCGAAGCTGGAATTCGCAAACACATCAACAAATGGCAAAAAGGTGCCTAAAAATGAGCTGTGAATTTTTTTTTAAAAAGAAGCCAACTACGAAATTCAGACCAACTGAGCCAACTTTCCTAGCTTCCTTTGTGAGCGTACACTTATTAGAAGAAAAAAACGGCTCTCTCGTATCAAGTTGAGTACAGACATGCTACTAAACCGCTCGCCGATGAAATTGAACGTGAAGGTTGAGCACAACTTTGGAGAAGGTTGGAGAAAAGTGGATTCCTTTTATGCCGCCAGCGCTTGATTGTGTTAATAATCAGTTATTATAATAGCAAATTTGCAATTAGCCAATACGAGCGATCCCATAGGACATTTTACAGACAAAATTCAGGACAATTTTTACAGAGGCACGTATAGCATCAAGTACAATGTCTATTTAAATCCAAGTTTTCCTGAAAACAGGTCCAATCAAAAGATACATCGCATTTCTTTGTTTGAGTACAACTAGCTGCATAGCAGATGACTGATTTTTCAGAGTTATTGAAAAGTCTTGATTTGTTCTGTAGTATTGCGAAATACTACACACACACAAAAGACCATTGTCTTAATTGTTTATTTAACGACCCAATTCTAAATTGGAGCGTGCCATTTAAATTAAAGCCTCTTTTCACTAAATCAGATATTGACTGATTTACTCTTATTAGGACTATAAAATCTTGTTTTTTAAATACTTGTCAAATTTTTCTCATTTTTTCATGCTCAATATTTTAAAAGGGCGGCGATTATTAATACGTCCCTTTTAACTTAACTTGAAACAAACTGGATAAATATTTAGCAGTCTTGCCGGCTGCACTGAAATTCTCCTTGCTTTGATTAAGCAGAGGTGCACCTGCAATATGATGCATCAGAGAGAGTAATATGAATTTTTAATAAGACAAACTGAAGGCTGCGGTTTTCATCAAAGGGGACTAATAAGTTGAAGATATTTGATTTGAAAAAATCAAATAAAAACTAGTTGAAAATTCCCTTATTAGAAAGGGAGAACAAAGGAGCAGGTGAAACCTGAATAATTAAAGATTGAATCAGCCGCCGGTTTATGCTTACGAGCAAAAGGACTGGCCTGAAATCTTCAGTGTTTCATTTTGCTCAGTAAGCAGCAAGTCAGTTCTCTTCAGTCAGATCTTTTAAAAATAAATAATTTTTCTTTTCTGCCCTAACAATAAAATTAATCTAGCCCTTTTCACTTATAAAAAGAGAATAAATTCTCATTTTAAGTTCGATAAAATTATAAATCGAGATACTCGAGATAACCACACCTGAGGAAGTCTGGACTACAACTACCCAAAGGACTACGGCAAGACGATTCAGACTACCCAACCAGAAGTGCTGACTTGGACAAAATCAAGGGCAACCATACATACTAATCAGCCATCGACCTTAGTAAGAAGATAAAATATTGATGAACAAAATAAGATTAGCTCAACCTCCCCTCATAGGTATATTTCTTTAAGCTGTTCGATTCATTTATATAATCTAATAACCCGGTGCTCTGTATCTAACCAACTAATTAATTCAAACCTTTTCTAACTATTGTTTCTACTCTACTTTTTGTCAAGACAATTTGACGATCTAAGGTGAGACTTATAATTTAGGATAAAATTACTAAGCATTCAACCAGCAATGAGCGCTTAGTAAAGTTCTTATTTCAAGCTTGTAAACTAGACGATTTTTTAGTTTTGTGAGATGTTCTATATTTAACCTGACAAGTCAACATATTTGAGGACCCATTTTGTCACCCGTTGTAGCACTTGTTCCACTGCTTTCAAATGTCCCTTGTTCGGGCATGAGACAACGCAAGCATATAATATGATCCAAGCAAAGGTTTAAGTGTTTTTTAATCAACGCAAAAATGAGATTTGACTAAACACAAACATTAATTGAATGAGTTTTTTATAGGCAATAACAATTTTTTTTACATAGTGAATGATCTTAACACCACGATGTTTCAAAGATGTCGAGATTATGCTGAAGAATTGGCCATCCGTTGTTGGTGGTATTTCAATTCATATTTTGGTCGAAATCGCAAAAGAAAGAGAACGAACAGCAAGGGAAGAAGAGAGTTTTATGACACACCAATTGACACAAATAGACACCTGGAGACAACATATTCGTTTCCAAGAAATGATAGCTTCCAAAAGCGGCTTGTACTTACTTTTGAACCAAGTTTGCAGCTTGTATATGCCGTTTTTGTTGTATAATTGGTTCACTTGTCTCAGGAAAATTTCGCAGATAAATTTTTTCCGCCATCTCGAAAAAAGCAAAGTTCAGTCCAAAATTTAATTGATTCCATTCTTGAAGAAACGCACCTATTTCTTTTTCATCAAAAATTCTTACCTGCGTCTGGAGGCAAAATTGGCGCTGGGTTTTTCTGCTGAACAACCTTCTTAGCCACTTTTCCAACTTGAGATACTTCTGGTTCAAATTTGGGCCCAAATTTTTTAGCATCTGCTTTGATCGCCTTAGAAGGAGCAGTTGAGATCGAAGACTCATGAGTCTTTGATGGAGTTGCAGGTACCACGTAGATATCACCCTCATCGTCGGTAGGAACCCAAGTTTTAGATCGAGTCTGCGCTTTTTGGAAATTCAGTTTCCTGCTAAATGCACTGGCGTCTTTGCTTCTCGCAGAAGCAGCTTTTACGGCTTTCGAGGGAGAAATTGGTATCTCGTACAGGTCAGACGAAATTTCAGAGGGAGTGAGGTACCGCTGTTCATCCGTCACTTTTCTAGTAGCCTGCAGCCACATCTAGAGCAAAGCAACTTAGTTCAATCCAGTAATCATAAAATAATTTGGTAAATAATCATATCTACCAAAAACAAGTCTTAAAATTTCTTTCTATAATACCCGATAGAAATTTCTATAATACCGATAAAACCCCAGACTTTTTTATTGATCAATAAAATACGAAGTAAGGGATTTCCCCAACCCCCTCAGCTCTCTATTACGGAGAAAAATTTATTTGGGACGGAGGAAAATTTAGAGACTAAATATGATAGGAATTTGAAGTTCCGATATCGAGATACTCAGGAGACTTTCTTTTACCTTGGAATTATTCAAGGATTTCACTTCGGAACTGGCGGAGAAAATCCATCTAAGCGAGTGATCATCAGGTAGTTTCACACGCATAAGAAGGCCACTCCATTTGCTCACATGAGCCAAACAACTAAACGAGAAGATCGAAAAAGCACAGAACACAAAAGGATCGTATCAAAGCTATTTGTTACCCTTGACAATTTGATTTTACTTGCCATTATGTTGACATAGTTTCAAATTATTTTCTATTTACTTTAAATTCAAAGTTTCGCAAAAAAATGTTGAATTTCTGAAGAAGACAAAATTAGTCGTTGTTGTTGTTGTTTTAGCCTGATATTTGCGGCGTGTCCGGCATGCTCTCACCGAGTAAAAGAAACTTTGCGGAGGAAAATAAGAGCATTCTTCTTCTAGTAGGTTCCATCGATACAAAATTGATCTTCGGTACACAAAGTGAACTCTTTCCCCTTAATCAATTTTTTAGCGAGATAAAATTAATTTGGTAAAAATCATTCTTTTCCAGCCAATCTGATTTGAGCATACGCAAAATGAATTATTTCTTAATTCTTCCATTTTATTTTTCTGGTAGTTCACTTTGATTACTTAAGGGGGGGGGGTGGAGGAATTGATATTTTGATTGTATCTTTAAACCAATCCGGGGTCTCTCTCACCTTTTGTTTTTCTCGGTTTGCAGTACGACTGGTGTTCCTCGCTCTTTATCCACCACTTCTGGTCTCCCATGTTTCTTGACCAAGTAGAGATACGCCTGTACATCTCTCTTCACATTCTCACTCAGAGTAGACAGAACAGTTTGAGAGATATCTTCCACAGTTGGGATGACCTGGTCGGGGATAACATGGCCGAATGAGCCTCCTTCGAAGAACACCAGGAATCTGAACACGTTGAAAATCAGGGCCAATTTAGTACATGAATTTGGATTATTTTCAAAAATTCCGGTAGGAAATTGCTATGGCTTGAAAGAAAATCTTGGGAGTACACAGCCATTTAGCGTTACCTTTCTAGAGTATTGGAAGTGATGTTCTTATTAGAACTATCTGAACACAGACCAAAACTCAAGACAAACGGGTTGTTGTGAAAAAAGCACAGGAGGTTCCGACAAAAACTCGTTGTTTATATTTATTATGACTTTCACATAGGGGAAGTTATGTTCCCGTGCAACACCAACACATTAATTGAATGAAATACAGATAAAATTCTTGATTTAAATACAAAAATATACTTCTATTTCAGTTTTTAAATTTTTGTATGTCGCCAGTCGCATGTTTATGAACATCCCAACTTTCATATAGGTAAAGTCATGTGATTTTTTCAGAAAAAGTCTTGAAAAAAAATTGTTCACACCACTCAAGTTTCTTCTGAGGGGTTTGACATTTGATTTATTTTCAGTTTCACAATATCGTACATTTAGGAGATGGAAGGCAATTTTTATTTTCCAATAACTGAGTTTTCATTTCGAAACTGTTTAATTCTAGAAACAAATTAGAAAAAATCTGCTGATCCCAGTTTTCTCAAATTAATTTTCTGTTCAAAAAATGTCGATCGCAAAAAGTCTAAAAGCTCAAAATTCGAAGAAAAAAGCATGATAGAGGCGAAGCAGAGCTTCGCACCACCTGCAATACATTACTAATGCAAACACTAGAAAGATAATCTGGCTCTTTCGAAAAAAAACAATTAAATGAGTTTTGAAGAAAGTGTCAACTGAAAACTTTTCAGGAAATCGTCGGAAAACTGTTGCAAATCTTATAGAACTCAGTTACAAAAAACATAAAAGATTCAGGTTAAACAAACTCCTTTCATTCAAGTAGATGGAAAGGATACAAAAAAGTTAAGTTTCGGTCTAAAAATTGTGATCCGAAAATTCCAAAAATCACCAAGAACTTTCTATGAAAACCTTAGGGACAAACAAACAGCATGCCATTAGGAAAATCCACGTGTATCAAAAAGAAATTTTAATTGCTTGCAAAAAATATCAAAATGAACCAAAGAAATTGAATATTGAAAATTCCAAAAATCTGAATACAAAAGTTTCAAACAATTACTTCAAAAAATATTTTGCAGAAAATTTTAAAAGCCTATAAAACTAACCGGATTCCATCACCCTTAAAAAATATGAGGCTATACGCAACAATATGTTAGCTGAACTACAACAAAAAACATAAAGTCGGCTCCGATAAGATTTGAGCTCTGTATCTTAAATAAAAAAAATTAAAGTTAGGGAAAAAAAAATTTCGTAACTTTCCAAACATTTATACTAGAAACATTCATATTTGGAAATATCGAGCAACACCCCCAACAACCGCCAAGTATTCGTTGTAAAAACAATCAAGTCAAAATTTGAAAACAAGTTTTTACGGAAATTTATTTCAGAAACTCTACTTTAGACTATTTTACAAAAACTTTCTTAACATTTGAACAATATGATATGCCATCACCACCTTGGAAGGATTTGGAAAGAAATTTCTCGGAAAAAATTTTTTAAACTAAATTGCGGTCAGCTAACTGCACGCAGTATCAGAACAAAAAACAATCAGACACCACCATGCCTTCGAAAAAAAAAACCAAAACATATTTTTAAAAAAATCATCCAAAAAATCGCTTCAAAACTTGTAAGTTTTCAAACTGAAAACTTTAGCTTTTATTGCAGAAAAACGCGTTAAAAAAATGTGTTTAAAAACTTATTTTGGGCGTTTTAAGTTCTTTGAAACGAATTAAACAATTAAATAACTAAAAAATTCAGTAAAAAAAAACAAACGCTAAATAAGCCGACCAAAATTGGGCCGAAATAACTTTGTTAATTCCGTTATTTGTCATTTTTACGTAACATAAAGAGTTAGTCAAGCTCATCAGCTTCCCAAAAAACTAAGTTGAGCCCAAAATTTCAATTTCCTTATATCGTTTGTGAGGTTCTTTCCATAGCAGGAGCACCTCTAAGACTAGTTATGATACGCTGGCTAATTTCAGCCTTCAAAACAAGATTTTTCTTAAGCCCTTTCAAATAGTTTCATTTACCTTTCGTCAAAATTTGAGCCCTGTATCTCAAATAGTTGCCGAGAAAACAAACAAAACGTGAAGAAAAAGTTCGTTCATTTTCCCGCTGAAATCGAAAAGTTGCAACTTCTATGTCACGTGACCGTAGAGGTGTTAAACGAGCAATGTGCTGGAAATGGAGATCTTGAAAATGGACATCTTGTGAACAAAGTTTTTTTACCCGATTGCAATACCCTTGCTTTTCGCAAGAGTAAAAATTATCGGTCAACTTTTTGGTTTACTTGAGTTTTTTTTTTCAATTTTAAAATAACTACGGTCAATCAAGTCTAAAAGTTGTTGAAGAAACAACAGAAGAAACTTTATACCATATAAGTGGAAATACAACTGCAACAACAATTTACATAACTTAAACACCTAAAAACAATTTTTGGAGGCAGTATTTGAAAATTTCGCAATCAGAAATTAGTAAAGTATGTTTTTTTTTGCCATGCGTCCTATTTTAAAAATTTTGTTTTGAAGAATACAATTTTGTGTTCTAAAACATTTTCATAAACAGTGGAATTTCATTGACTCATCTAGCTTTGTTGATTTTTAAGACCAAATAAAATGCGCCGTGTGATACGTAATCTCAACATTAACACTGCTTTGAACAAAAGCGAACAACAGCGAGAAAACGGAAAAAATGCTCTAAAACGGCTTAAAAAAATGCAAAATGGAAAGAACAAAGGCAAGAGTAATAAAAAATTTGCTTGCCCTATTAACAAACGTGCCTTATTACTCTTGCCTTTGTTCTTTTCATTGTGCAATTTTTTAAGCCCTTTTAGAGCAATATTTTCCGTTTTCTCGCTGTTGTTCGCTTTTGTTCAAAGCAGTGTTAATGTTGAGATTACTTATCACAGGGCGAATTTTGTTTGGTCTTAAAGATCAACAAACTTGCCTTTCTTGATCAACAAACCTAACTCACTTTTTTTAAGAGTTAGGTTAGAAAAACAGAAAGTTCGTAGTACTACACTACGCTGATCACGAGTGTAAATAAAGAAATGCTACAGGACAAAATCTCTAATAACAAAAATTCATCTATTATCAATTCTCAAATATCTTTTTCAGATAGCTTAAATCATCAATTTTTCTCTAGTTATCTTTGATGGACAACATCGTATAGTAAAACATGTATGAATAATGCCAAGATATAAAGGTTTTAAGCGTACAATCAAAATCAGATTCAATTATGTTCTACTTTCTAAGATATCAATTGACGGAAAAACATTTAAAAAAAAACAGAACAACAAGAGTTAAAGAGGTTCCTTTGATGACTAGACTTGTATTTTTCAGGACAAGGATGCGGTAAAATTTAAACTAAGGATATGTTTCCAGAAGCTATTTTTTAAAACTAAAATCTGAGCACACTTATCACAAAATATTCATAATTTATTTCACTTGATTTAAAACAAATTAGTACTTGAATTGCGACCTCACACTTAAAAACACAACAAAAAACCAAATCAGACTATTCAGAAAATCCAAATTAGGTTGCCTCGAGTTAAAAAGTGAAAAAATATGGAACCCACCGAATCCATGTCGCGCCAAATGAGGATGCAGATTTTTGTACAGATATGAGTCTAACAAAATACACAGAAATTTGAAGATGCAGTCATCATAAGACAAAAAAGCAGAAAAAACAAATCAATGCTAGATGCTTGAAATTACTATTATTCCGACCACTGAAAAAGAGGCAACTGTGTCTTCAAATGTGTTTCACATAGTTTTTTTTTCTATGCGAAACAACCACCAAAAATAAGCATCGGAATGGGTCAAATGTTTTAGTGACTAATGATTTCAACGCATTTTCAGATTTAATTTGAATGCCAAAAAATCTGTTTAAAATTTTTTCAAATCTTATTTCAGGAAAAAAAAGCAAGCGAGCAAGATTCATTTCAGGAGCAAAGCGAGTAACTAAGCCGTAAAGATTAGGCAGAGAAACTTTTGATTTACTCCACAGCTTTCAAAGTTTTTCAGCGCATTCTATAAATTAACAGAAAAATTTTTTTTGCCATAACTATCGAATATGTCTAAGTTTTACTCTACCGTGCAGGTCCTCATGTCACACCACGCTCAACAACAACCAAGTTGTTCTAACATAAAACGACGCAATGTTTGTGCTCGGTTGTTTTTTTTCTCCAGATATACTTCGACATTTCATCTAGCAATTTTTGACGGATTTTTTTATAAAAGAAAAATTGTTGTCCTGAGCTCAAACTAAAAAAAAATTCATCTGAGATCATTTTTTGTGAAGTTATGGGGTTTTAAGATAGCCAACGTGGGTCAATTAACGCGCGATATAATTCATGCTATTCACGCTTCAGCGGAGATTGTATTTTATTAAGTTTGTTTTTATCAGTTTTTAAATGTCACGAATTTTCTAAAAGTTAATTGTACTCCATATACATTAAAAATGCAGTCGAAAAATTCTGAGTTTCCATCTGATACGAGCAGTTTTTGTTTAGTTTTCTTATTCTGGTCGGAATTTTCTGGGCGACCGGCTACTCTTGTTCTAATTATACTTTTGACTTTTGAATATCTTAACCTTAAATAAAAACTTCTGTCACTGGCTGGGGCCGATCTAGCGCCCAAAGTGACTCTGGGCCTTGAATCGACCCATGGTAGTGTCACCATGATTTATCTGAATTTAACCACTGAGCCAGGTTCCCGGTTTTGTACCACATAGAGGCAGTATTAACTATATTTTCACTTTACCAATATAAATTACGCAATAAAATCCGTCAAGAAACAGAAACTATGACAGAAGCTGAACTCAACTGTTCAGAAAAAGTTTCCAATTGAGCTCGGCTTATGTTAAAAAAATTACTCTAAAATCGAGGCTTTCCCTGTCAAAAAAATAATCTAATTTTCTTTTCAACGGTAGGTTCCACACTCATCACAAAAAATTTCATAATTTATTTCACTTGATTTAAACCAAATTAGTACTTGATTTGCGACCTCACACTTGAAAAACACAAAACAAAAACCAAATCAGACTACTCAGAAAATCCAAATTAGGCTGCCTCGAGTTAAAAATGAACAAATTTGGAGCCCACCAAATTCATGTCGCGCCAAATGAGGATGCAGATTTTTGTACAGATATGAGTCTAACAAGATACACAGAAATTTGAAGATGCAGTCATCATAAGACAAAAACGCAGCAAAACAAATCAATGCTAGATGCTTGAAATTACTATTGATCCGACCACTGAAAAAGAGGCAACTGTGTCTTCAAATGTGTTTCAGTTAGTTTGTTTTTTGTTTTCTATGCGAAACAACTACCAAAAATAAGCATCGGAATGGGTAAAATGTTTTAGTGACATATCATTTTAAAGCATTTTCAGATTTGATTTAAGTGCCAAAAAATCTGTTTAAAGTTTTTTTAAATCTAATTTCAGGAAAAAAAGCAAGCGAGCAAGATTCATTTCATGAGCAAAGCGAGTAATTAAGCCGTAAAGATCAGGCAGAGAAACTATTGTTTTACTCCACAGCTTTCAAGCTTTTTCCAGCGAATTCTTGGTAATAAATTAACAGAAAATTTTTTTTGCCATAACTATCGAATATGTCTAAGTTTTACTCTACCGTGCAGTTTCTCATGTCACACCACCGTCAACAACAACCAAATTTGTTCGACCATAAAACGACGCAATGTTTGTGCTCGGGTGGTTTTTTTCTCCAGATATACTAAATAAAAACTTCTGTCACTACCTGGGGCCGATCGAACGCCCAAAGTGACTCTGGGCCTTAGATCGACCCCAGGTAGTGACAGAATGTTTTATTTGAAATTAACCACTGAGCCAGGTTCCCTGTCTTGTACCACATACAGGCAGCAATAACATTATTTTCATTTTACCAATACAAATTACGCTCTTAAAACATACCAAAACAGAAACTATGACAGAAGCTGAACTCAACTGTTCAGAAAAAATTTCCGATTGAGCTCCGCTTATGTGAAAAAAAATGCTCTTAAAATCGAGGCTTTCCCAGTCAGAAAAATAATCTATAATTCTTTTCAACTATAGCTTCCAACCAGCTACGTCTTCATCTCTGACACATCGTAGGTCATACTTTTTCTAGATTGGATTAATATATCTGACACTGCTTAAACCTTGCCACTTGCATTTTTACAGACTTGATAATTGTGTTGAAAATCTAAAAAAGCAGATAAAAAGCAAAAGGACTACTCCCAATTACCTATTTTCGTTGTCCTCAGATGGCAAATCAGCAACGATTGCCTTTTTGAACACTTCACGAAGCTCGTTTCGAACAGCGATTGACAACTTCAGAAACCTCTCATCATCCTCGTCGCTCCGTATTCGAACAAGCACTGACTGACCAATCTTGTAGGTGGACTGGGAACAAATTGATGAGCATTTAAAACAGCGTTGGTATCGGTATGGACGCCAATGAAATAAATTGATTTTGAAATGACCATTCGAGCGGGGATAAACCAGCCGAAAATATAAGCAACCTACAACGAGCAGCGTAATTAAACCAGCAAAAAGTGATATACGTTTTTGGCAACCGCTGGTTTTTTTTTGGCTGGTTTATAGTAGCAAGTTAATACTTTGGTAGTATTTACCCCCGACTACAATTAAGGTAAACGAAATAACTTCTAAAAAAAAAGCAAAAAATTTTAATCCTCGAAAAAGTACCTTTCATGTTTTTTGAAGTAAATAATAATATTGTAAATTGTTTTTTACAATTTTTGTAAATTTTATATTTGGCACTAAAATTTATTTAAGAAAATGATTCATGGCTGTTCTCAATGATTATTAAGAAATAGAGGCGGATTCATGATTTTCCTCGGAGTGCAGATTTTCCCTCGAAGGAGATGCAGAACATCGCACCATTTACAATACATCAGAAACAAAGCATGGTAAGCTAACCAAATTGAGACAAAACCAGCCTTTAAGTAGTTTGAAAAAAGCACTGAAAAATTAGGTCTAACAAAATGTTTATACGTTTGTCTCGACTGAATTTCATTTAACAATTTTGATAGAAATCAATTGGAAGGTTTTGACAATTTCATGATTCTTTTAATTTAAACATGTTTTCATAAAGCTAACCTAATCATAAAAAATTGCGTACTCGGTTTGACCTCCATACACAAAAAACCTTGTCCTACAATTCCATAAAACAAAAGCGTATAATTCATTAAATGAAAAAATATCGTACAATTTCGCACACGGAGTGTATGGAAAAAATGTTTATCATACAATTTCCATACGGAAAAGAGTTTGAAAAGCGTTTTCTACTGCGCTGCATAAAAAAATCCGAAATAACAAACCAGATTTCAAGGATTTTTTTTTTAATTTTCAGTTGCAATATCAATTTCATGCTCAAAAAAAATTGCATGTAAAGATTTTTTTGTTAATGTAGTCCAGGCTGAATTTTTCAAACTATAAAAAAACAACCTGAAAAACTTGTGCAAATCCAAATTTGAAAGCTTAGTGTTTTTTACACTATAAGATACACTTCAAATGTCAAAAAAAATCAGGACAAAATTTTCTACCAGTTTGAGGCTTTTATTCATAGTTCTGAGTGATCTGTAAAATTCTATCTGACAGTTTTTACTCAAGTTCCGAGTATCTATGAGATTACCTCCCTTCAACCAAGTGGGTTACTTGTGAAAGAAAATGCCTGGTCATTGTGTTTTCGGCTAAAACACAAAAATATTTTAAAAAACTCCAAAAATAATAACTTTTTGTTTATGGAAAAATGCTTGTCATATAATTTTCAATTAAAAAAAACTGCTTATCGCAGAGTTTTCCTACAATTTTAAGTATGTACGGAATTGTACGAAATTGTATGACAAGCATTTTTCTTTTTATGAAAACTGAATGTCAACCCGGGTAAATAGATATTTTTTTTCCGCTTGAAAATTTGAAAAATGATATCCATTTTCGACACTAAAAGTCTATCACACTGCTCGCGACATTTAAACTTTCGTAATTGGGTAATTGGAAAGCATGATTTGTCTTTTTATAATAAATGAAATTGATTTCAACTTGATAAGAAATCATAACTCAACCGCGAAAAATCAAACTTGAGCGTGATTCAGTTTTAAGATTTTTCCGTGAAAAAAAAACAAAAATTGACAACAATAAGTTTCTTAACTCTAATTAATGAAAGTTAAAGAAGCAAAAGACTTCGCTTTTTCCCAGGGGTGGATCTAGGATTTTCTCCAGGGGGGCGGATAATCAAAAATTTTCGAAAACTTTGTCGATCTTTTTTTAGGTCGACCGATCGACCGAATTGATTTTTCGAGCTCTCCCAAAGCACTAAAAAGACCCTGCTTTGGTAAAATTTTGTGCGCCGCAGGCACAATTTTGAAAAACAGGCCAAAAAACGCGTTCTTAACTTTTTAGAAAATTTTGACCAAACTTTTGAAAATATTAGGGGTGCGTCACCAAAAATGGATATCTCAAAATATTAAAAAGGGGGACCCTTTGGGTCGGCAGGGGGTCGAGTCCCTGAGGAGGGAGGGCGTCCGCCGCCCCCCCCCCCTAAATCTACTCCTGCTTTTTCCTAATTATTACTATGTTTTAAAACCTAAATGCTCATTACTGGGTGGCATGGCTTAGGGAATGCAAGTCGCGAGGATAAAACAAAAGCAGACTCCTCCTTTGCTGGCATTTTGGGGACAAGAGAACCATCCAGGTCAAGGCGGTCGATGTTGATAGCTGGTTGCAACTCGTAGACGTTCTGAAAAGGTTTGACATGACACGAAATCATGAGTTGATCAAAAAGTTTAGCAAGGGGGAGGTAAACAGGATATGTGTCCATCAATATTATGGGGAACTTGGCCAGTCATGTACGGATGTAAAAGAGTTTTCAACAAAAGCTAACAATTGCAAAAATCATGGGGATAATAATGGCTGTTCTCCAAAAAAATGGAATAGAACAAATTTTTGGTCTTTATCAGTATAAATCGACTAATAAAAAACTTAAAATTATAAATTTTAATTCCCAAGGACCAATTTTTTCAGAGTCCTAAATGAAACCTGTAAAACGAATGGAAATTACCTGATTTTTGGTGTTGAGATGTGCTGTGTTTTTCTTAGCGTACTTCCAAAAAGATTTGCCATTAGACTGCTTCTTGGAAAACTTCTCCACTAGAACGAAATCATTCTTGTGAATTGGCTGCCCAGTCACGCTAAAGCAAACGAAAGGTCCACTCATAAAACTGTCAGCAACTACAGGCGTCAAATACCGGACCTCAAAAAACATATTATTTGCTGTGCGTTGCCACTGTCTATGCCAAATGATCAATTATGTGGTCCGAATCCCTAATATTGTTGTTTTTACAAAAAATATTCCGAAAATTTTTACCAATATTTGCCTAGTATAATAATTCATCGCCAATTTATTTACCTCGAATACAAAAGCACGTTTTTATTTTTTGAACAGCTCGATAGCCACACGTCAACTGATCCAAATTCGCCATATTCGGTCGTCATAACTGGTGAGAAATCAGAGTCGTGCTAAAACACAAACAAAAGCATTGCGGCAACTGATCGCGAAGATCGCGTCACAGCAATTCTTCTTGGATTTATCTAAGGGTTATTTGATTTGGTCTAATAAGGATTTATTGAATCCAAGAAGCATTTCATCTAGATTTGTTCATGAGCTAAGTCATGTTCCTTTGGTAGCTAAGCATTGCTTAGTCAATTTTTTCATTTCATCGAGCTTAACGGCAGTTTAATTATTGGTTTTAAAATGCTACGAATTGGCGCTCCTGAACAATTAATTGTCCAATGTGATGAATTTCATCATTCAGAGAACTTTATCATGGTCGGATTTCTCAAATAAGAACTCAATTTAAAGTCAATCTTGAGATTGCTTACCTTAAACATAGCTTCCATTTCCATGTCAGTCCTGCGCATCTCTAAAGAAAACAGAAGTTGTCATTCAAGTATGACTCAATTGAGTTCTAAGAGAAAAATCCTATCTTAACCCAATGTTGTCATTCAAAAAATTACTACTGGGTGTTTTTAACGCTCGCTTGCAAGGCTGGTTTATCCATTTAGTACTACAGCGCTGATTCAAATTATCCTGAAAAAATGAAAAAGAAAAAAAATGACAAAACTTACTAAAAACGTTAATAGAACTAATATGGTGCATACTATTTTTCGGCAACCGGGCCCAAATAATTCGAAAAAGAACGGATCTTTTAGGCTTTCTTTGACCAATCAAAATTTCTGTCAAAACTACCGGTTCAAATTACGAAAATTCGAAAAAGTGTGAGTGACGTTTGGCTTCGAAAATGGATCTCCATTTTCAGACTTTCCAGCGGAAAAAAAACCTTTTTCACAGCTTTTGTTCCAACAATTGAAAATTCGAGTGTTCAAATTTTTTTTCTACGCAAATTCAGCTACCACTCATATTAATATTTTTGGAGTGTTTCTGGCGCTATTTAGGGAATCAAAAATTCAAAAAACTTCTGCCAATGAAAAAATTCTGTAAGTTTAATGGTTTTTTAAAGATTTTTATTTTGTTTTTATAGTCTTTTTTTTCGAAAAAAGCTGCCCAATTTGTCGTTTTACTATGATTTTCGAAATTTTCCATGTTCTTGTTTTTCGTTCAGATCTTTTTATAACACCAAGCAGAAAAAAACCATACTAATTTGAAAAAAAGTAATAGGCTATCTTTTTTAATTGGGTTAGTTTTATAAAAACATGTAAAATGTAACAGAATCATGAAACTCTCAAAACTTTCCAACTGTTTTTTGTCAGAGTTGTCATTTCGGAACGTAGACTTTATCCTAGTTAACAACTTGTCTTACAGAACTAAATCAAAGTGAGCCTCTTAGGTCATCCAGCAAACTTTAAGAGGATTTTATACTGTTTCAATTTTGTATTAACGAATATATTTTTGTTTGGCAGCCAAACAATGTCACAAAATTTAAAATACCAGTTTGTTATTTGAAAAAAGTTTACTTAACATTTTGCGCAAAATTTTGAAGATTGTACCCTTCTTAAACTTTGTTTATTGCGCTACATAAGAGACTCTCTTCTATATATTTTTGTCAATTGAACATGTAGATTTGACCAACAACTTTAGGACCGAATTTCGCTTAAACTGGGCCCCAATGAATTGCATCATGGCAAGTTCTGCTAAAATTCTAAGCAAGATTTGTCTTCATCTTTTTGAGAAAAATGTGTTTTAATTTTCAAGTTTCCTTCGTTTTTTCCGGATAAATTAAATCAGCACTGGTCGGCTAACATAGATTTTTCTAAAGGCGTTTTTTCGTGTATATGCACTAAATTTGAAAAAAACATCATTTTTGGTATGTTTGCTCATGTTAATGTCATAGGAGAGCTTCAAAAATCTTTTTGGTCTATTTAAAAAGCCAATTAATGATCAATCAGGCCAGCGAAACTCCTAGAATTGCCCCTAAACAAAGATGTCGAAAACACAAAATGACCCTTGAGCCGACAAAAAATCGTCACTTGGCTATATTCCTCATTTTCTTCATATTCCTCATTTTCCTCATGCAGAATAATCACATTTTTTTGTCAATTATTTGCCGATTGACGATAATCGCAGGAAAACATACCTTGGAAGAGTTTTGTATTCTCCAAGTCGTGTATCTTTTGGGTGCATTGTTCCAACCGTTCAGTCATGCTCTCGGAGAAAACGTTGAGCCTAAAATAAACTCGAATTTGTACATCCGAAGTATTTTCACAACCCCCCTTCCACCTTTACCACACAGGTACATAGATCAAGATTTCTATATTTATTTAACAATTGTTTTTTTTTAAATCGTGAAAATGACACGCTGATTAAAAAATTCTAAACAGTTACATGTTTTAATCCTTACTTTAGTTCGTATCAATCAGTCATAATAGAAGGGAGATATCCTGAAAACGGAAATGTTTGTGTTGTTAAGGGCTAGGAGAATGGAGCCAACTTTTCATATTCATTGCAGTTTAAGGCCTTCAGATAGAGCTTACAAATAAAAGTCTATGATTACCATTTGAACTTACCCGGTTGACAACACTTTCAATCTGTTGAGCTTCGTCACACATTTCCATAGCCTGTTCATATGTGCTTTCAAAATTCTCTCTTCTGGCGCTGTAAACACAAACTTGCTTTTGATCAGACCTTACTGCAGGAAAAAAATCAACCTTCAGAGAAAAACTCTCTGTCATAAATGCATCGACTTGATTGAACAAAACGTGAAAGCATTCAGTATAACGAATCACTGAATAAGAACACTCGGAATGATTATAAAAAAAGAATAGCCGACTGGTAATGAAAAAGTCACGAAAAAACTCTTAAAGGCGCTCATTTCAGCGTATGAACTAGCTTATGTCAGATCAAATCAAAATTTAGCCTCTTTTCTGCCTTGAATTTAGACCTTCATTTCCATTTCGAGACCTTCCATTGATCTCTTCACTCTAAATTGGTAAAACAAAAAACAAAAAAATTGTCCTGAAAAACAAAAAACATTCAGCCCAATTTTTTCTCGATATCCAGAAGTAATTTTGCAGATCGAAATCAAACTGACAAGCTTGTACCCATAGCTCAAAAGTTCAATGATTGATGATCACGGCTGAGTATGATTCAAAATTATTTATCATTACTCGACGAGACTAAACGTTTGATTATAAAACGTATTTGGCGTTTGAAAATCAGATACCTGAAATCAAAATCTCTGAGCCGTTATGTTCCTCGTTGATGAAAATTTATTAAATTGTGCAGTCTATTGTGTCAATTGAAAAAATCGAGATAAAAACATGTAGTTTTTTCCTTTTTTTTAGTACAAATTAGGCTAAAACTCTTAGACTTAACTTCAACCAATGAAAGAAAGGTGTAAAAGTGTTTAAACTTAATTTGGAAACTCAATAACACAAAAAAAAACAATGACAATAGTACCGATTCGCAATGCAAGCAGCAAAATTTTTACACAGAGACGAAGCTGAGTTTCGCATCACTTGCGATACAACCAGATCTATCGAAATGAATGAAGATATTTGAAGGAAAAAAATTCCAGTCAGTAGAATGAAAAATCAGCATAGGAAGAAAACTAACCAAGCGGTAAGAAAGCCAAAAGTACCTGAACACAAACTCTTCATGCCAATTTTTGTTCAAAATTAAAACTAATAATAAACTTAGCATCGGAACAAAACTAACCAAGCGGTAACAAAGCCAAAAATAGCTGAACAGAAATTCTTAATGTCGAAACTTTTTTACATTCAAAACTGAGAACACGCTTCCCTTCAGAACATACACTTTAACTTCAAAATGGTAAAGATTTTTATTACACATTCATTTTCTAATCGGCGCTTTTGAAAATTTTTAGTCATAAAAAAAAGTAATTTTAATCGGATGAAAAAAAGCTCATTATACTATTTTTATCTATGACAAACATTTTTTCATGGAAAAACAAAAACTTCAGAAATCATTCAAAACAAAATTAAATATTTTTTATTGAGTTTAATAACGATTTATGTAAATTTTAAGCAGTTTGAAGGTCAAGTTAGAACTTTTTTGATAAAAAAAAAACGCTTATGAAATAATTTTTGTTTCAGGCCAGGGAATCTAACCGAAAAAATTGATTTTTTACCAAACCGGAATTGGTTATTTTACAACCAACATTAAAAACAAACTACAAATAGAGCAAAATGTTTCAGTTGGGGCTTGATCAAAATGTTTCAGTTGGTTGGTGAAAAAATCAGAATTGAGATTATGTTTTAGTGATTCAGCTGGACAAGTTGTTTAACTGAAAAAAGTCTATGTTCCGACTTACTAACGGTTGTCAATCACATGCGTAATTATTACATGATCTTTTGGGTAAAATTTTAGTTTAAATAACCAAAAACAGGCAGCTTCATTTTTGCTCAAAAAATAAGCTTTAAAGCCAATCAATTGACAAAAATCAATACATCCCAGAATGCAACAAATTTTCATGCAATCTTCATGCAGCACGAATCACCTGCAAAAAATAATCTTTATGTTTTATCTCAATTGAACGCATGTGACGTTTTTTTTTGGGGCGTCTGATTTAGCGTGGATCATTAGAACAAACAGATTTAGAATAAAAAGAAGAAGTTAACAAACTTCAACGTGTTTTTCTCAAATTGGGTCAAGATCAAACAAAAATAGAGGAAAACAAAAATTGCTTGGAGTTCAAATATATTTAATATGGTGTATTTTTTTCGAAACTTAAAATTTTTTTGGCTTTTTGTAAAAAAATCAAGAAATACGCTAATACTCTAGAAAGAAAGACTTGTTTCGGCTATCAAGTTAATCTGCTAAAACTTTGTTGGGCTGTGTAAGAGTTTTTTTTCGATATAAGTTTCTCATCAAGTTATCTGGTAATTTCAGCGTAATTCGTGATAAACTAAAAAAAAAACTGCTTAACTGACCCATTTTTTGGGGCAAAAATTTTGTTTCGAATTTCGAAAAAAGAATTGCTGTTAAATTAAGTTGATAGCTCTAATTTTAATTAAATTCTACATATTTTTGTTCTCCTGACTTTTTTCTGATCCTACCGCAATTTGAGGAAAAACGTGTTTAATTTTCCCAATGTTGTTAGTTTTTTCCGGTTAATTTAAATCAGCTCTGTAATACTTAATGTAATAACTCCATGCACAAGCACTGAATCACAAATTTTTGTCAGATCAAAACACGTCATACAAAACAAATCAATCCAGACCATATACTAATTGTCATAATGAAGTATTCACTCAAAAGCGTAAAGGGAAATGCAAAAATTGATTTTCAATGCCTAGCAATTTCTATTGATTTTTTTCTGGGTAACTATCCCTTTGATACGACTAAAAATTGGTGTAAAATCGAGTAAATAACACAAGTAAAACGTCAAAATTATTCCGACTTTCGAAAAAAAGAGATGGTATCTTCGTGCTCGGGTGTTTTTTTTCTCGGGATGGTTGGCTTTCTGCGGACAAATTTCGACAATTTAACAAGATTTTTGGGAAAACTTTATACCATCTGAAAGATATGTGTCCTACGTTCAATTCTTTTTTAAAAAACAGCAGTTAGCCTGATTCTTTTTCCTGAAGTTAAGGGGGTTTGAAAATAATTAATATGGCCAGTTTCGGATAATTAACGCATGCTATGTATCTTTGTAACGAGTAAGCCGCAAAATAAACCGGCTTTGAAATCGCTCCAGAATGAATTCATGCAGGCTATTTGGTCTTATTATTACGTTGCTACAATCGAACTGAATCACTTTGTATTTCATATAGTGCTGAGGGGTGGGTTGATTTTCAAAAAAAAAGATATTGAATTTTTTTTGAAATTTAAGGGCTGTCTGCACATTCAGGGCTTCGCATAAAATTTCTTATATTGGAGAATGATCTCCTTGAATGACAAGAATACTCCGCTTTGGTCTAAATACTTTAAGAAACAACTTGATAGCAGGGTCATTCAGAAATTAACAGGGAAATAAACAAAAAAATGAAGTTAACTGGAGAGCTCGCAGGTCGAGGTCGGGGACTTATATTACGACCATTGCCACTCAAAATGGGCATGTTGCAATCATCGCGACCCAAATCAGGTATGTTGCTGCCATTGCGACTCAAAATGGGTATGTTGCGACTTTGCAGGACCGAAGAGTTTTAGCGCGACCCAAAAGATTAGTTGCGAATTTGCGCGACTCAAAAAAGGTATGTTGCGACTCAAAATTGGTATGCTGCGAATTTGTGCGACCGAAGTTCTTTTCGCTATAGCAATGAATTACTAACTACTATGTAACAAAAAACGTAGGTTTCAATTAATTGGAGGAATCGTTAATATTGATAGTCCGCAGTTGATTCGTTGCAAAACATAAATACTTCAAGAAATAATAGCACCTTCGTTCTAACAGCACCGTTAATTTATTTAATCAACAGCTGATTAGAACCAAAAGTATGCATTACAAAAAATTTCTAGGAGACCCTGATTCAGGCAAACTTTTCAACGAGAAAATTTCTGTTTGGGGGGACATTAATTAATTTGTTATCAATTATTTCTTGAAAGGCCCTGCTTGATAGACAGCAAACAAATGATTTATAGATAGATCCTCGAACTGCACCTCATAATAAGAGCACTACCGATGGGCGCAGATAATCTACGAAAAAATTTCAGGCCTGTCTAAGCATAGACAGTTTCCCATATTTCGCCACATTCTAGACAGTTATTTTATTGAGCAGAGCCATTTTTGCTGCGCTTTAGGCCTGAAATTCTGCCACGGATACGGATGAAAATTATTTTACCTGTCTTACATCTTCTGACTAGCAGTAGATTCGCTTGCTGACTTAAAATATTGAGAAATTTACAGTTGTACGTACCAATATCCGTGACCTTGCGCATCTTCAGCGCTCAAAAACAGTTGCATTTAAAAGAATTTGTTTTTTGACACGTTTTTACGAGTTAAACGAGAAAAAAGATGATCTCCTAGCTCAAAGTTTATAAAGCTTTTAACAATTATATCGGACGTCTTAAACTTTTGAGATAATTCTGACCTTCAAGCTGAAATTTATCAGAAATAGTTCTTTGAAGTTTCGCGTTTGCCTTTTTGTCGGTTTTTCATCCGTTCTTCTCTACTGAAACATTGCAAGTCAGATCGCTATTGAATGAAAATGCGCAATCATTTTGGATTGGTCTTTTGACAGTTCAAATCCATTTTTGACATTTCGTTTTTTTTTCAACTCTATTTCACAGCCTCAAGGTCGGATTTTTTTCAGAAATTTGAGACGTTTCTCGATAAGATTGCTTTAAGCTATAGGTTAACTACTTTCGTTAACACAGTGCTGATTTAAATTATCCGGACAAAACGAACAACTTGAATTTTCAAACGCGTTTTTCTCAAATTGGGTTAAGATTAGACAAAAAATGAAGAGAAAAGTTGCTTAGAATTTCACCAGAATTAATACGGTGCCATTTTTTCCGAAATTCTCTACAAAAATTTTACCCCAAAATTGGGTCATTTTGGTTTTTTTTTCCAATTAATCAAAAAATACGCTGAAACCACTTTTTTAATGGACGAGAAAATTATATCACAAAAAGCCTCTTACACAGCCCAACAAAGTTTAACAAGGGTTAAATCTCCAAAAATTTGCGCAAATTGTTTAAAATTTATTTTAAACAGAGATTCTGGGTTTTATATAGTTAAAATTACATTTATTGACTATCGAGTGAAAATTTTTTCTCTTTTACTGGTTTTTGGAGATTTAACCCTTGTTAAAATTTGTTGAGCTGCGTAAGAGGCTTCTTGTGATATAATTTTCTTATTCATTAAAAAAGTGGTTTCAGCGTATTTTTTGATTAATTGAAAAAAACCAAAATGACCCATTTTTGGGATAACATTTTGGGAGAAAATTCAAGTTTTGTTCGTTTTGTCCGGATAATTTAAATCAGCACTGTATTCGATGATCGAAAAAGATATAGCCAAAACTAAAGGCCCAGCTAAAGCTGGAAGTACCTGTTTGATAGTTTTTGAATTTGTTTTACTGATGCGGGATGAAGTAAGTAATTTCAAAACAATTTAAAAATTATCTTCTCCCAAAAACTTTAGTTGTTGCTCTATAAACAAAATGAGTGAAAGTTTTTGTGATTTTGGAACACAATTTTTTTTGTTCAAACTTTAAGGCGTAGCATCTTATGCACGGATACTTCTCACAACATGTTGCCTTGAGTAAACTCTTGATATCAGATTGAGTTTTTTCGAAAAGTCAAAGTTTCGAACATAGGATAAGAAATCATAACATTGACTTTTCCGAGGGTCATAACTTTTTGTAAAAAAAATAGGCGTAACTGTTTATGCAGCGGAGCTTTCCACAACGCGTTCTACCCATTGAAACCAATAGCTCAGATTCGGGAGTGTAGTTTTTGACAAAATCGAAAAACTTCAAAAAAACGTCAAAAATTTGACTTTTTCGAGGTTCATACCTTTAGTGCGAAAAAATGTGTGCATAACCGCTAATGCATGGTAGCCTCTCACAACCCGTTCTACCCATTAAAACCAAAATTTCAAATTTCGGAGAGCAGTTTCCGAGAAAAGTCAAAAAGTTTCAAAAAACGGTCAAAAAATCGCCAATTTGACTTTCCCGAGGATCTATCTCAGAGGATAAAACTACTATCTCAGATTCATGAGGTTAGTTTGAGAAAAGTTAAGTTTCAAAAATTAGTCAAAAATTCCAAAGAAAGTTTCAAAATAATGGTCCAAGAAAAAATTGATTTTTCAAGGGCCATAACTTTTTGTGCAAAAAAAAAATTTGTGCGTATCCGCTTATGAAGGGGAGCTTCCCACAACCTTTTCCATCCATTGAACTCAAAATCTGTATTCGAGAAAATGTAAACATGGGTCAAAATTTCCCCCCACACTTTTTCGAAGGCTGTAGAAATTGGGGTAAGGTAAAAAAAAAGAGACTATGAGATTATGCAAGCACACGGGGGAGTTGGTTGGCGGACTTCCCATTGGTACTAATTTTTGGAAAACGATTTTGAGAAAACTAAATAAAAAATTTTAAAAAAAAACCAATACCATACATTTTATAATCCCTGTTTTTAGCATACAGGGATAAACGGGCATATTGCCGAAATAAATACAATTAAATTGCTTGCCACTGAAACTGGGCAGAGCAGGAATTTGTGCAAGGTTGAAAACAAGTATCTTTATTGTAAGCTTACGTGAAGGTGTTTTCTTCCTTTTTAACCGTCTTTGGCTATAACTAAAAAACTAAACCCTGTACTGACTGAGCGTTTCTTATACAGCCATCAGTCCAGTATAATTGAGAAAATAAATCCTTGTGCAAATAATGTTTCAAGGTACAAACTTTTTGCATTGGGAACCCCAGTAGCCTTGCACCATTCGTAGGACTTTTGCACTAACTCATCCATCATAGTTTGTCTGACAACCTTTTTTCTCCTTGCTTTAATTCAGAATTGCATTCAAAGAGAACTGAAAATCTTAACGCAAATCAGTTCAACTCTCAATTTAGAATCGTTTGAAAGTCTGAGTGCTGTGCATGTGCTAGCACAAGATAGTCCAATGATTGGAACGCTTTTATCTGGTTGAATCGCCTCTTTTTGCAAAAAATGGAGGAGGAGGAGAGAGGGGGGGGGGGTAATTCGTATATGCTTAAGCGTTGAATTTCTTCATTATTTCAAGACCAGAACGCTCAAATATCCTTAAGCAACTCTGAAATATGATAGATTATTTGCTACAATCTAATTTATCAGTTAACTAGTTAGCTGTTGAGATGAGACTCTTAAAACTCTGAGATGAATTAAATTAGAAATCATGCGCATAACCATCTCATACATTTTTCTTCGAACAGACAAATTTGGGATATCAAATAAAGAGTTTATGACAAGACAGTATGTTTAATCATTTACTCAAATCACAGTCCGTACAGAGATTTGAACTGTTTGAATATTTTCAGAACGTGGTTATTCATTTCAGATGTGAAAATCTCCTGTTCCAAAGCATCAATATGGATAGCCACTTGGTCTCCATAAAGCGATAGACACATTTGAAGTCTCTCACAAATATACTTGTACCATGGCGTGTTAATCGTTTTCTCTCTAGTCAAATGATCCGTCATTATTTCAACAAACCGTCTGAATATTATAAAGAAGAGACTTTTATGCATTTGTTCAGCCAATTCGTGTTTTTCTTTCGCTTCTTCGATATCACTGTCGCTGTCACTTGAGTCACTGTCCGATTCATCCTCGCTATCTTTCTCTTTCTTCTTCTTTTTCTTCTGTTGGTCTTGCTCTGCTTTTAGGAAACTCTGTCTTGTAGCCAACAAGTAACCCTCCATGCGTTTCAAGGTCACGTGAAATATTTCCCATATGTACAGACAGTGTAAGTCTCCATGCATTTCAGAGCTGAAGAGCCAAGACATAACTGCAGTTACAGTAACTATTTCCGTCTTGAGCAACTTGTCAGTCAACAGCAACATCATTTGCTCGTGATTTCTCCATAAAGCATGCACTGACATCAACAGATGATGCATCGCAACCTCATTTGGCGCCAAAAACTTCAGAAACTCATGAAATTTAGTAAGAGCCGAGAACGTGTGTGTAAATGACTGCGATGCTAACGAGAAGAGAGTCTGGACAAAAACGTCGATTTTATCCGGATTGTACTCTTTCAGTTCCGGATTATCTGGGATCTCATTCAATATCTGCAGAATCTCATCTTGCGGTTTCTTTTCAGTCAAAGCTGTCTTGATTTTCAGAGCTACCTGTCCATTGAGTGAAGTTGAATCGCTGTCGTATTTGTAGTTATGAGTCAACTCTGGTGGTACGAAAATCGAGAATGTATCCGGGACCATGTCTTTCACGCTGTCATGGTAAGACAATCTTAGACACTTTAGTAAAGTCTCACGCATGAATATTTGCTTCGGGTGGATTGGATCCAGAGTTAAGCTGTCCGACCAGTCATTCCAGTCCCATTTGAACTGGAAATTGCTCAGATTGTAAGAAAACCAGCTGACAAATCGATCAATACACGCTGTATGCATCGAAGTCAGCCTTTCGTACAACAGTTCAGTAGCTTGGGCTAAAACAACTGGCGCCTTGCTAGCTTCCTTTTTACAGATCTCAATCAGAAGACTTCCGTAGAATAATTCCAAGAATGGTGGTTGCGGGAGTCTGAAAATATGGCCAAAGATACATTCAACTATGCAGTAAATATGGGGAACTTTCTGCGAATTAGGGTACTGCAACAATATTTCGGCGCATTCTTTTCGGTCGAGATGGTAATAAATAATGATCTGTTCGATCCAGTCTTCAATCAAGTATCGGTCGATCGAATGATGTCCAGGCATAATTCCCGGTTGATCCTCGGGACAATCAGTGTAGTCAAACATTCTGAATGTTACTTTTGGCAACGGGTACGGAGAGTGCGCAGTATGAGGCGGGGGCGTTACACTGTGAAGCGTATGTTGGTGAGAATTGACCATAATTCGGTCAAAAGCCGAATACGGTCGAATAAGTTGATGCTCAATCCATTTGTTTTTTCTACATGTCAGAATCTGCTCCCAAAGCGAATCAAGATAATCCTCTTGCGGGTGCGGCTCATTTGAAGACCACACACGCAACATTGGAAGATAGCTCTTCTTCCTTTTGCTTGTTATATACTTGTCAATTTCGAACAAAACTCGCTCAAGGTCAGCCTCCTTTCTATCAGCTAGAATTTTTCCGCACCATGGAAGGGCAGCCAGAACCATATATACGTACCAATCAGACCTGGCTTGAGGAATGTCTTCTTCTTTCAGAACTTCAATAAAAGACTCGAACAAATTTAAAACTGACATAGCCGTAATGACATTACAATTGACCAAATCACCGATAAATCGCGTAATATGGACAGCATCTCGGTGTCTGAGATCTTTCAAACATCGCTTTAACATCTTCACCAACAAATCAACACATTCACCTCCAACATTGAACTTCTTTTGATTTATGAGACCGACGAGTGTTGAATAAATTGTAATCTTCCATGGCATGCTAATTACGCAGTTGCATATCAGGCTTAGAATTAGTTTCTTCTGGTCATTCATATCTTTATCCAGTACCACAGATAAAGTACTCAGATTGTCTTCCAGGGACGCATTGCTCTTTTCGCCAATTCTTGTAATCAAGTCCTGCAATTTTGTATCTGGCCTAGTGGTCATCTGCATGTGCTGATCTCTACCACGCTTCCCAGTTCTGCCCTGGGACTCTTCAACCTCCATGGCCTCATGGCCCCTTTTCCGTTTATATCCATCCATAGTAACCCTGAAAAATACAAACCAGGATTTAAAGCTTAAAAACAAAGCTTAAAATACAACAGCTGATATTACTTCAATATTAACTATTTGCGATTTAAATAGTTCGATTTCGATACGAACGTTTTTGACTGTTCATTACGGTTTGTATGAACACAGAGCAAGATCCACGAAAAAAAACTTTCAATTAATCAAGAAATAAAGGAAGACGAAAAATATCGGGCTCAAATAAAAAATTCTGAATAAACTAGCACGTGCATTCAAATTGGTTGAGTTTTAAGTTGGACGTGTATTTCATTCCAAGGAAATCTGAAAATAAGATTTTGAAAATCAGAAAATGCCAGATAGTCAAGAGGATAAGAATACTACCAGTGGGAAATCTGGAAAAAGCAAACCACCAGTCGCTTCAGAGCAGGAGGGAAGTTCAAAACCGTCGGCTCATCAAGTTATCCCAAAAACAGTCAGTTTCACCACAGGAAGAGGTCCACTGTTTTCCCCTTCAAAGAGGAGCTCAGATGAAAATAAGACGGCTGGCGAGAGGACAGTAGCACCTTCAGGTTTTAATGAGACAGAGAGAACAAGTACTATAATCAATTACACAAAGTCGGTGGCTTCTGAGAGGAGTGCCCGACTGACAGCTCTATTCGGGGAGATGCTGGAAAACAGCGGAGGCATGAAACCTGCCGGTCAGTTCCAGCAGAAGGTGAGAAAACTGCAGCACGAGGGCAAGATCAAGACGGTCGGCAGGGGATTAGAGCGAGACATGGTCAAACTTATCTTCCGAGGAGACCTGACTACGCAGGGTAAGCGGAAGGAGGAACTACAGAATGAGATAGAGCATATGACTAACCGATTGAGAAAAGTTAATGTGGTGTTGGACCACTTGAGGAAAAAGCGGGAAGTGGAGACTATGAAAGTCAGGGTGAAAATGGAAAAGAAGCTCAAACAGGCCACAGAGACTGCGCGTGTGAATCGGGACAAGAGTGTGGCTGATCTAGTGGCGGACAGTGATATGCTGCAAAACATTAGGGACAAGAGAGCGGGCGAGGAACAGAGAGCAGAGAAAGTGGTGGAGGATCTGCGCGAGGACACCAAGCGACTGAACATCTACCTCGTCTCGTTTTATAGATCACTGTTTGGGTTCCAAGATACCGACATGACTAGCAAGAAGTTCAAAAACACGTTCATAAACATATACGATCAATTTATTAGGGGCAATGTGCAGGACCCTTTGATCGAGTTCATGCGCAAAGAACAACTTCTAAAGAGAATCCACTCGTCCAGTTGTAAGAGGGTGGGTGCATTCAGGAGTAAGTCCACCATGCCAGCCCAAAACAGACTGGACTTCCACAGTTCCCTCTATTTCTCCATCATAGAACTGCAGAACGAGACCTCCAAACTGACATCTGAGAAGGTGAAGAAACTCAAAGGTCAGAGGGCACAACTAGTCCAGGACTATCGTGTGGTGTCCAATCATTACTACAGGGCTATGGATCTCCTCGAGCAAAGAAATGTGGACACTGAAAAATACAAAACTGATTTACCATTTTGATATGGCAGAGAAAACTCGAAAACGAACAAGTTTAAGAGTTTGAAATTCTTTCATTCAGAGAAAGCTATTTATTGCGAGAAAAAACTAGCTGATGTCTTTTCCTTATTTAAGTTTTTCCATATCTTTGTTTTGCCCACTCCGGCAATATTTTTCAAAACGTATGGGTGAACAACAACTGACAGAAACGCGACAACCAGTCAACCACGAAGTTCTAATGGGAACACTGAGTACATTATTTCCGAAGTCCTTTAACTGCAAACAAATCATTCAACACAGGCGATGCGGAGCTTCGCACGCCCACCACTTGCGATACCACAAAAACAGTTTTGCCGACTAGCAGACAGAGTCACCAGGTCTGAAAAAATTTCTAAAACAACTAAAAAAACGTTCGTAGAGCAGAAATAATATCTGGATTGATTTCTTATTTGCAGAAAACACGTCCAGAAAAACCATCGACGGCGTTTAATGAAAATTCAAAAAATCAATTACCGAGCGTCAACTGAGCCGATAAAATTTTATCATCATCATCGCCAACACGATAGGACTCAAAGGACGGTTGCTGCAATGGATGTGGGAGCATTTCTAGAAAAGATTCGATGACTCCAACCCCTGTAGCTGGAAAATTCTGTGCGACTGTACCCGAAACAACTGCAGAAATATGTCTAACTAACTGAGCTGAAACTGTGGGGGAAATCCCTTGCGTACGCTAAATTCATATTATTATTCTTTTTTTATTTAGACACCTCTTTTTCGTTAGTTGATACATCTTCGAGTTTTTTGTTGAGCAGTTTCGTAGGCTGTTTCTGGTATTTGTGGGGTGGCAGTGTTTCTGATTGTTCAATTTCTACACTTTGTTACATGTCACTTCATCGGATATAAATCATCATACAAGCTTCGAGCCAGTTAAAACGCCAGAGGTATTTAGTTCCTCAGCAAGCAGACTCGAATGGGCACATTTGCAGATCTTAGCTCATTTCATATAACTTCTCAGGTTAATTCGATAAATTAGAGAAGAAATGAAAACAAAAAAGCTGCCATGGAATTATAAATTTTATTCAAAGACTTTCAGCATTTGTGAGATCCGGAGGCATGCATAAAAATAAGGTTACCCTCGAAACAACCCAAAAATAGATCATTAAGTCAAAAAAATACAAGCTGAAATCATTTCGGTCAGTGTAAAGATTTCAGCTAAAACAAAACAAACGGAAAATATACTGAAAATCAGGCCAAGGAAAATTACAAATTGCACTTGCAGGAGTAAATCGAAACACTAACAGCTACTGAAAATATTTGCGCAGAGCGAAAAAAAACAATCAATCTCAAGATGTGTGTAACATTCGCCCAAATACTACACAGCGACGGAGCGTAGGAAAAGTACCTATTAACGACTGGCAGGCGTCAGTTACCTTAATCCTACTCGTTTTTCACCGTCTCGACCTTGCCAGTTGATTTTCTGGTCTGTTTAGGGCAAAGTAAAAAGTTACCATTTTTAGGCCATCAGTCAAACGACTTTTGATCAGCTTTCGTTTACATGCGAACACATGTAACATTCGCCCGGAAGATACATATCGACGGATAACAAAACTAAGTCTTAAGACGACTGGCTAGCGTCTAAACAGAGCTTTGCATGTTTTTCACCGTCTCTACCAAGCCAGTACTTTTCGGTGGTCTTTCTTACATCAGGCTGACAAAAACGTTACTGTTCTCCGGCTTCGACCAGAACGCTCAAATTAACTGAATTACATGCGAAATTAGTGAGCTCATGGCTGGATCTCTGTATCCCCAGACCACGAGGTCACTCCTAAAAACAGGGCTACTACTTATCATATTACTATTGTTTTTGTTCAGTAGATAAAAATCATCATCTCCATCGAAGATGGATCAACCCTTTCCCCCAACTCCTAGCACCTCATCCTTGTCAAAACTAATCAAAATATCAGTTAAATTCAAGTCAGGACATGACAGGATGCTAAAAGTTTATGTGAGTTAATAAAAGTTTCCGTCCCGAGACCCTTCCGGATTCTTGAATCCGCTGAATCAAGCTCCTTACTCTTGATTTCTTGCTAATCCGGAAGGCTGGTTCTCACCCTTCACCGTTGTTGGCAACGGCCTTGCAACTATTGTAGCAGCACAATAGTTGCAACTCGGAGCGTTCTCTGCTATTCTGTAGTTCGTTGTCGTTTTCCAATCTCGATTTTCGTACTGTTCGCAATCGCAGATAAAAGTTGTTCTGTTTTTTACTCGCTTTTTTGTTAAAATGGCCGTTTCAGCATTTCTCAGAAACGTGACGTCATCATTCGAATTTTTGAAAATTTAAAATACTAGAATATTCTAGCCCTCACCGTTTGGCTAAACGTTCCAATAACGTCGCTAATCCTTCGAAATCATCAACTCAGAAGGCTTACTGCTCAAAATTCGAATCCTGCATAAATTGTATTTTGGCCATTCTGGTCGAATGTCACATACTCCCCGGACAGTCCGGTCAATGTCCTCATTGAATCGCGCAATGTTCTAAATGGTTACAGTGTCATCGAACAGAATTTACAAAATGCACGAAATTACTTTTATCTACGTCACATCGACTCACTGCAGAATATAAATGGCATCATACTACATCACTATAGCCTTCAAATTCTTTCATTAATCTGCACATTGAGGATATGACTTAAGATAAAACATATTTTCTGACTTCCAGTGTCAATGTCCCGATTGAAACTTTTTCTCCTAGATTTAAAAGGTGTTGGCTTGCAGGACAGTCCTGCCAACCAACAAGCTAAAATTATCCTACTATGCTCCTTCCCTTCGGAAATCTTGCTTGTCTATTGTCCTGAGTATTAAAACTAAGAAACTTTGTGGTTAGAAAGAACAATGCAACAACCTCCCTCCTCAAGAAGTTACTCAAGTTTTTCATGTCACCACAAAGTTATCAGTCTTCCTAAGTGATTAAAAACAATCATGCAGGCTGGAATATTTAAATATACTCTTCCCTCAAGCCTTTCTAAATAAATAATAAGTGAGTGTCTCTAAAGCCACTTCAACTAAAACCAAAATGCAAATTTATAAATGCAACAATTTCCAAACTCAACTAAATGTTTCAGTTTTCAATTACAACTTGGTTGCTTGGTTTCTCACTTGAGTTTTTCACACACATAAAACAATTCTGAATTTTAACGTTTCTTCGTCATCCCTTTGTTCTCTTCTTTTTTCGTCGTTTAGAAGTTCTAAAACTTCTGAATTCTTCTAATTTTCTTTCTTGCTGCCTCTTGTTTTCTCGACCATTCGTCAATGCTCCATTTCCTCTTCCTGTGACACTGACTACGCACTCTCGGTTTCCGTGTCTTGTAGCACGTCATTGACTATCCTGACGCTGTTGGAAGCCGTCCTCCAACACTTCTGCTCTTCCACCCTCTGTTTACAGCAAGGTAGGGGATCCACGTTTGATTCTCTGTTTCTACAGAAGCTGTTGTGGAGACACAACGTCACGTTT